TGGAAAAACTGAGGCCAGTGAGGACACAGGTAAGTAGCTTGCACAAAGTCATGGAGACTTGAATTATTTCATCAGACTACAGACAAAGCTCATGTTTTTGACAACCATGACATTAAGTTTTACATTAATGGACTAGGCAGAGTTCTTTAGCTACACTAAAAATTATGGAAATCAAGAGATATGCCAAGAAGAAAAAGTCTGAAGTAAACTATAAGTAGCAAGTTCCTAAAGAGCAGGGACTCTCGGATGCAAAGTCAGGGCAGACTTTGTCCACCAGTCACACCCTTTGTCTTACATCAAACGCTTAGCCATATTTCATTTTTGTTGAGAAAACTGGAAATTAGCTGTTGTGGCCCTAGTCATTTTGTGCCTCAACAGCGTCACACAGGCCAGGTCACTGGTAGGACTGCCTATTCACCCTGTCTCTAACACCACCTAAATTATGGGTGGAGGCTTTATGTATGCTCTCAGTATCTATTCTCAGGAGGATAGGGATATGATGAAATGACAGATATAAGATGAAGTTCCTTGAATACTTCACTGAAATACAGGTCCACATCAATCAGATTAAGTAAACACTTCTCTTGTTTCCTTGTGATTTTATACCTCCAACAGATTCAGCTAGAATGACCTTAAGGCAGGAGTCTCCATGTTCTTATCTGTCCTCTAGGTAGCACTGAACACAAATGATGAAAATAAAGCGATAGAAACATGGCTGATAAGAGGGGAGGGAAACAGAGGTGAATGATTTCATTAGGAAGAAACAATGTGTTTCAGAATGTTCCTTGCATTCCAGTTTTTCAATGGTGTAACAGAATGCTTGCTTTGAGTTCTTCTCAGCTACAGGGTTGGATTTGTGGTCCAGACCTTCCCCAGTGGGCACAGAAATTCAATAGTTTGTAAGCCCAGGTGACTTACTGCTTAGTTGAATGTTTTGTTAAATGCTACAGGATGTATTACCTACAGCCCAGTACTTAACAGTACTTGCATGCCTAAGTATTATACAATCCAGCTAGGTAATTCAATTGTGGATATAGAGGCATGCTTTATTGTTTGTTTTGTTTATACATCTGGGTATAGTCAGAAGCGCGGGACGAGAGAATTACCGAAGTACACTGCTGCGGCAGGAGAGGTCTGCGCGCCATGTGGGATTCGAACCGGTGCCGCAGAGGCCGCGCGCAGCTTCGCAACCCAGCGCTCAACCGCTGCGCCACCGGGGAGGCCCTCAATTGTGGATTCTTACTAGATTTGCCAGATTCGATTGTATGTAGTCAGCAAAGCAATTACAAGTAGAATTCAAAATAGCTCAAATTCTCAATCCATTTAAATGTTTGGCTTGTCTATGGTTTCCTTTGGGAAATCTGTTTGATAAAACTACAGTTTCCTGAATTCTCCCTCAGAAAATCCCTATCAATATATTTTTTAAGCAAAGTACCTTAGATATTTGGATGCAAGTTGATCAAGAGTTTTGCTTTGAAAAATGCTGAATTAGCCTTTGTAAGACCCTATAACATACCTGATGGCCTTGAAATGTCCCCAAGTATACACAGAAGCTGTTTCTTATTTATCGTTTCTTATATAGTTTGGGTAGTTCACTTACCCTTTTGAATTAGGCACCAAACATTTGCTTTTCTTTTTTTTTAAATTTATTTATGCATAAAACAATGGAGTGTAGGCCAGAGGTGTGGGGGGAGCGGGTGAGAGGATTCACCAGAAATAGAGTAGGGAGCAGAACAGGTGGATCTACTGAAATACATTGCTGGGGGGAGCAGCAGGCGAGACAGGAGAGGTCTGCTGTGCCACATGGGTTAGCTCCCTCACCGGGGATCGAACTCTTGCTGCAGTGGCTGCTGATAGCTTCATAGCACTGAGACTTAAGCCCTTGTGCCATAGTATTTTCATTATGGTGCAGACTACTCTTATTTTTGATTATTTTCTTTTATATAAAAGTAGATTGCAACTTAGGTGGACATGAAAATAGAGAAACATAGTTTTATTAAATAAATTACAATCTCTCTTCACCCACATACCTATCTATCATATGAATAGCTAGTATATATTGGATATTAAATACATTTCCCCTATAATAGCTTGGGAACAATAGGGATGATGTGAACAAGACTTTTTCCACCTTAGTACATGCTGCTTCTTTAATTTGACATCCTTTGAGGTAATGTTATAACCCAACTGCTATAAAGATGCTTTATGCAGCACCCCAGTTATATCTGTGATTTTCCACTGCTCTATCTTTTATATGGTTCTTATCGTAATATACTGTTTGTATTTTTTGTCTGTAGTCTTCATCCTCAGTTAATTTATAGTCTTGTTGAAAGAAGAAATATATTTTTTCTTCATTGCCACAGCAAAATTCTCAGTGCTATTCATTAGTGCTCAATCAACAATATTTGCTATTGGATTGATTCAGAAAAGAGGTATGACAGTGCTTTGAAGTATATTGTCAGCATTTTAATACAAAGCTTAATTTTAAATAGGCTCAAATATTAATTTCCATGCACTAGTGAAATATATAGACTACCATAGAACACAGATGTTTAGTCTTGGATGGTTTCATACAAATTATAAAGTACAGATCTGGTTTTTGCTGAAGAAATCAGTCTATGTCTAAGATACTTAGTTACTTGAGAGAAAAAACCATTTATCTGTTTCATTTCACAGATAGAGCAATAGTTTTAATTATCTGTACATTTTAATCATAGCACCTTGGTCACACATAATAGACACCCTAATGTTAGTTGAATGGATTGTTTCATGGAAATAAATTTTGCTAACTCAATATTTAGAACTAGACAAAGTATGGACAGTCAGTGCTTATACCTGTAACTTCTCATGCTTTACAAGGAACAAAAAGGAAGATTTATGCCTTTACTTTGCAACTTGGGAGCCCAGATTTATTTGGTTTACCTGATCCAGAAATGAGCTAATTGTCCCACTAGCTTATTTTGCTATGTCTCTCTTGCTTCAGATATAATTATTGTTTTCTAATTCATTTTTTGAAAGGTATTCCAGATTTTTCTTTGAGCGGCAGAATGGGCAGTTCTTTTTGACTCTTTTGTGTGTCTAAAAAACCTAGTTATAGTGTATCCTGTTGCATCTGTAATCATTAATGTCCCTCATTATGCCAAAAAGGAAGACTTATACTTTTACTTTCCAATTTGGGAACTAAGGTTGATTTGGTTCACCTGATCCAGAAATGACAAAAGGTAGACTCCACACCAGGGAATTACACTGGTTGAAGCAAGAAAATCAGCTTAGCTGTAAGAAAGATATAACTAGATTTAGTTTATGATTTGGTGGTAGAATTAATGGGGAAGGGTGAAGGAGGTCAAAGATAATTCTAGTCATTTTAGTTTTAACAGTTGTATGAATAGTGATGGAAAGAATGGAAAGAATAAGGTGAGTGGGAAAAGAAGTCTTCTGGCATGTTACATTACAATTGCTTTTTGGAGATATTTGAAGAGATAAGCCTGGATACTTGAGTCAACAATTCTAGGAAGATACCAGGAATAGAAATAAAGATTTAGGAATCTTTGGCCTATTAATAATATTTAAAGCTCTGGTATTTGATGAAGTCACCTTGGGAAAGTGTGTAAAAAGATAAGGTTATCTATGACAAAACATTAGGCTACTCCAATATTTATAGTGGGGGTATAGAAGCAAATGAGAATGAGAAAATGGCAAGTGTCTTATCCAATTTATGCTTATAAGTAAATTAAATAGGAACAGAGAGACAGCTGTTGGAAAAGGCAACATAGAGGCCTCCGGAGTTATTGATAAGATTGATACCAATAGGATGATGACAACAGAAGTCTGATTAGAGTGGGTTGAGGAAATTATGTTTCCAAATTAAAGTCCCAGTTAAGAAGAAGATGAGAAACTTGTTAGTTCTTTATTCTAGTCTCTGTACAATATATTCCAGAAATCAAAAGAATTCTAAAAACAGGTACTCAAGTCCTTCAAACCGGTGCACATTTGTAAAAATTAGGATAGTTGTTAAGGACTCATTTAAAAAGCATAAATTAAGGTGTCATGTTATTGAAACAGATTTGGAATGTTAAAAATCAATATAGAGTTCCCTAAATAAATTATTCTAGAGTAATTGCCATGACAAACAATTAACAGCGTGATAAAATTAGTTAATAGGTTCTGTAACAAACTAGACCCCAATATTATTTGGGATGATTCAAATTTAATAGATCAATCCACAGATATTTAAGAGCTGGCAACACACACATGCACACACATACATCAAGTCATCATTTTTATTAGTCAATTCCTTTAAGATAGTGTATTTAATTATATGGTTGATAAAATATGAGAAATAGCATCATCATCAGAATATATTTATCCAGTCCCTTGATAGTTATGTATCTGGAAATGAGCAGTGTAATGATTATAACAGTGGGAAAATAAACCATGTAAAGAATCAAGTTTTGTCTAATTCACCAAGTCATAAAAATTGATTATCAATTGACATAGGCACTTAGATGAACTGGCCATATATCAAAGGGTCAACTTATTGAGCAGGTTGTAGAAATCTGTGCAACTTACACAGATAACTGACATCAGCAAGTGACACTATTAAATAAGAGGGGGTACCATGTATCATCCAGTAAGTGGTCATTGCTACTCTATTGCTAGTATATCCATTTATAGTTCACTTGTAACTATATAAATGCAAGATTCCTTTCATGATGGATGACTTGGGAAAGGGAATCTTTCAGTTGGGACTTTAAATATACCTAATTTCATCTGTATTATCTTTGTTGTTCATTTACTTCCTCATATTTTAAGTTAGCAAAAATATATTGAGCACTTATTATGTGCAAAACACTGTTCTGCTTAAATATATGCTGCCTTAAATATATGCATATGAGAAAGAAATAAGCCCCAAATAGTTAATATTTATTTTAGAATGAATGAGCTGCTAACATGCTGGTGTTGTTACCAAAGGGTGTTGACACCAAATGTTTAGTTCCTACCAGCTCATGACCCCCATCTTCATCGAAGTCCTCCTCTATCCCATCAGTCATCTCTTCTCCATCGGCATCTGGCCCTCCTTCAGCAGGCTCCTCTGTAGAGTGATCTGCATTCTCTGACACACATTCGTCTTGGATCAGCTCTATACTCTCTTCCAATTGTTTCTTCTGAGCTTCTGGGGGGAAAAAGCAAATGACTACTACCTTGGGTTGCTCATGAGCCATTTGGATAAACCATGAACAAACAGTCTATGAAGGGTAAACTGTACTATTAAGGATGTGAGGAAGATAGGTAATATTATGTTTTAGTCAAGTTTATTCAGTCATGTAAATTATGTGCATTTACATGTAAGCATATTTATTTTTAATGGTATTAGCAAAAATCTGGGAAGCCAGATGATACTAGTATATGAAAAATAAATATTTACATAAGTAAATTTTTGGCTATATGTAGTGCTTTTTAATGATCTCTCTGAGGAGAAAATGCAGCAAAAACAAAGGGAAATAATCAGATAAAACTGAGAACTTGTTCACTCAGAGAAGCAGGATGAAGAAAGATCATTCATAAATTTAAACCTAAATGAAAAAGACAAAAATTCACTGAGGAAGAAAGCACAAAAGCTGATATGTTGTCCTTTAGACAACATGACTATGTGAGCAATGCTTTGAAATTTTAAAATCTAAATTCTGTTGGCAGATGTTGCTAACTGGGATAGTTATAAACAAAATTCTGGTGTTAGCCAGTCTGTCTTCACTGTCCATCCTCACCATTTATTGGCCTTGTGATGCTGGGCAAGGTCAAAACGCTTAACCCACCTTGTGCTCTATTTTTCTCATCCCTACAGTGAGAATAACTACTTTTAAACTTTCAGGGTCTGGAGTAGTAAAGTGCTCAGTATAGTGTTTTGCAAATAATAAGTGCTCAACAAATAAAGATACAGTCTGTATTAATTGAATTCCCTCTAATTACCAGGGCGTGTGCATTCATTTACAGAATTTGCCTGAATGGAAATTAATGCTCATAACATAATTATTTCCACTAGTGGTTGGTTTTCAACTCCTGTGAAAATATCAAGAAACAATGAATATTGAATCAATGAGTTCATCTTAGGTATCTTCTTTAACTTACTCGCATGTGTTCATGACAGTCTCAAAAGCTGGTGTTTTTGCTCATTGTGATTATTTTTATCAGAATCATTCCATTATTTTATTTGTCTTAAAACATGTTACATTTAAACTTATTTGTTTATATTTTATAGCAATGAAGATAGTTTATAGAGACAAAAGGTTTTGCAATATCCATTCTTAGCCTTTTCTATAATGTGAATTTATGTATTTTTGCAACAGGGTGGTCCCCAGGAAAGGGGGAGGTTCCCTGCCCCACCCAAGGGAGGGTGGAGCTGAGCAGCAAAAGAAGAAGCTGCAGAAGAGACTAAGGAAGGAAGCAGGATGGAGCCAGGAGACCTGGAGGAGGCGCATGGAGCCTAGAGACATGTAAAGAAACTGCGCTTGTCTTTTGGTCGTGGACTGGGTGACACAGATGTGGGTGAGACCTGTGGGGAGGTGACAATGGCAGCTTTTATCTTGATGTTGATTTTGCTCTTTTCCTTCCGGGCTTGTCTGGTTGTTTGTGACCCTTTTCTGTGGGTCCCCACTGGAAGATGTTTTAGACTTGTGGCAGGCTTTGGGGCCTTGCTCTGGGCCGACCCCATATGGATTGAGTTTTACCCACGAGGGGATGGGTAACTTTGGGTGCTTCATTTAGAAACTAGACTCTTTGCCTTACCTGTATTGTTTTCTAGTTTTTATTAAAGTTCCTTCCCATTAAAGTGTCATATGTTTTGTGTTGATGCGGCGGATGGCAGAACCCATTTAGAATAGGCAGGTTTGTGGGGGTCTGGGGTGCCCCTCTCCCTGTCCTATAACATTTTGACTCAGCACAAATCTTTTCAAGCTTAACTAATATGGATATTGATAAATGATATATAAATAAACAGATAACCTCTCCTATAAATTCTTTAAAATTATAATAATAGTCACTATATGAACAGATGTATGCTTGTGTTTTAAATCTTTAAATAATAAAGTATATGCATTGACAATAAGACAGAAGTTTAGGGTTGTACTCCGGCCCGGCTGTTAAAGGACAGAATTCTAGATCCTGTTTAGTTATCAGTAGAATCACATGTGCTGAGATTGAGTCTAAGTTTTGGCTACTTATTTAGGTCATTTAAACTTGTTAAGTGAGCCTTTCCTTATCATATAAAAGGTTTTATAAGAATGCCTGTTGCCTCTGGGGTTTGTTTTGAGGACTAACAGAAGTTATATTGGGAAATGTTTTGTAAACTATGAACGCTACATAAGTATGTATTAGTGTATTACATTCAATAAGCAGACAGCATGTTCATAATTGCCAATATGTTAAAAGAATAATAATAATGACAACAACAACAGTAAACCTGGAACAAGAGGTCTGGCAAGATGAGGGAAAAACAGTGAAAAAAATTATGAGGCTAAGTTCGATTCTATTTCAGAGAAAGAAAATTGCTAGTAGATCCAACAACTAAAAATAATTATTATAGGTTTCTTAAAATGACAAAACCTAGGCTCTTTTTCTTCACCTTTAATTCACATATAAAAACAGACTACATACTTCCTGATGTTCTTCTATCAATTTCTTAGCTTCAGATTTCTCTATATGACAAATAACTAAGCCATGCTTTCTCTCTTTTAATGCATGTAAGTCTTCCTGATGGAAGTAACATAGATTCTCCCTTTATCTCTGATGTCTACATGATTTTTAGCATAGAAAGTCCTATGAAAACTATAAGATGGTTATTATACAACTTAGTGAAGAATTTTTTTTTTCTAGATCTAGAAGAATTTCACCCAAATTGAATAGGGAAATCGTGAGTTACAGAGAAAAAGTATACTTTAGAGAAGATGACTCAATTATCTAGATTAAAACAAAGACTAAAGTAAAGGTTAAGAGACAGAGTCCTAAACTTAAAATTGCTGGTTTTATTCCCCTCATCATCCTTCTACATATAATAATTCCTTTCTACAATTCTGGAGATCTTTTACCTAGGCTTACTGGCCCCCACACCTATGACCATTACCCACTGAGAGAAAGTTGTGATGGGCAAATTAATTTGTGCATTGAAAGATTCTGAATCCTCTGAGTTAGTACTCCTTTTCCTTACCTACCACCTCTGATCTTGAATTCTATTGACCACACAATGGACTTGGCTACTCTGGTTTTGACACTCCATTCTTTTTTCTAATAGTGATTTTTGTATTTACCATTTGACCTTCTCAATTTTAGCCACTCTATGTCACCCACCCAGTTGTTTAAGATATCGTGAAGCTCAGGACTTGGTGTTGATATCAAAGAGATATGAGTATTTGGGACTGGATGTTTATCTTAATACAGTGCAAAATGTTCCAAATCATACAACTTTTCCTAAAGTTAAACTTTCCTATTTAAGGTCATTATGTTTTTTTTTAAATTATTTTGTTATAATACTTAAGTGGATTTTTGCTTAAGATTAATATTATATTAAAAATTATTTGGTCTGGGCCTCCCCGGTGGCTCAGCAGTTGAGCGCTGGGTTGTGAAGCTGCCCACAGCCTCTGTGGCGCCGGTTCGATCCCCGGCTGCTCCCCGGCCACCAGAGGAGGGTCCCACATGGCGCGCAGACCTCTCCTGCCGCCTGCTGCTCCCCTCAGCAGTGTACTTCGTGAGTCTGCCTGCTCTGCTCCCCACTCTGACTCTGGTGAATTCTCTCACCCTCCCGCGCTTCTGACTATACCCAGTGCTTGTATAAATCAGTCAATCAATCAATCTTAAAAAAATTATTTGGTCTGGTATACCATGTCTGCTCTACAAATTTCAGGAATATTTGTTATGTGAGAACCCTTACTTTTGATATTGGAAGTAATATCTTTTATTTAACTCTAGAAAATCTCTGGCCAAGTGAACATAACAAATTTTCAGACTATTCTGTAAAACCATACCTTTAAGATGCATGGTACTCACTTGGTTCTGCGTATCAATTTGTTTTTCTGGAATCCAAGCTGACTTTCCTGATCTTCCTGGCTGAATGTGATCCCTCCTCTGCTGATCAACCAAAGCCAAGATCAAATGCTGTCTTATAGTTAGTTCTGTCGTTGCCTTATGCATTTCTTATTAGTGTTTCAGCGTTTTTGAAATTTGAGTTATTGCCTCAAAAGGTCATTGTCATACTCAAAATGAATAATCAGATGTTGATCTTTTATAAAATGAAAAAAAGTCAGTTATCAAGAAATAGTGTGAAATGCTCTGTACCCCTCCCTGATGCTTAACACAGAGAAGAGATAATATATTAGAATGGATATAGAATTTGAGATTCATCCTTCTAATTACTAGTCCTATTAGCTGTAGTTTTCTTCTGTAAAAGAGCATAACAAAGGTAACATCTTTCAGAGTGGCTGTGTGCTCACATGAGGAAAAAGATGTGGATGTACTTTTTAAACTGTAAAGATCACATAAAAATGTTACCATACAAAGCTTAAAATAGTTCTTGAGTTGACTATATTGATTACTTAATTGCTATAGCGAAATTGTTCACATCAAATTAATTCATCATTATTAAGAATTATACATTACAAAGACAATTTGACTTTGACTTGACCCATTCATTTCGATGTTTTAAAGTTATCTTTTTTTTTTTAACATACCACATAGATTTAATTCCTCTTATGGCCTGTTTCAAAGGCAGCAGTGTATTAATATAGTTCAATGCCAAAAAAACATAATTTATCCTCAGTCATTCATTTATTAACTTGAAAGATAAATGCTTGGAAGACATTTACTGGGTTGAGAAAAAAAGCTGTAATTACTGTGGGAACAGATTCACCACTCATTGGAATTTAACAGAAATGCAATCTGTACTTTAGTTATATGCAGTCATCAGAGATTTTTGTTATCACCTCAATAAGAAATATTATAGACATAAAAAATTATAGTTTCCATAAATAAAATAATAAATGAAAGCACATCTTGTTTGTTTAACTACTGGTTTGCAGTATAACAGTTTTAATCTAGTAATTATCTTGCTGAAACAGAGAAAAGCAATCTGTTCCACTTTATATTAACAATTACCTAATTTTACTTCTGGAATTGAGTACTATTTTT